TAATAAGGATAAAGAACAGAATAATGACTATGATAATGATACAGAAAAGGATAATTACTATGATAATGATATAGAAAAGGATAATGACAATGATAAGGATAGAGAAAGGAAAATGACTATGATAATAATATAGGTAGGGATAATGACAACGATAAGGATATAAAGTATAATGACAGTTCACTAAAAAGGATATATATTCGAGGATAACGATAAGGATATAAAAGAGGATAATCACAATGATAACTGTTCATTCTCTGCCGAGTATGGTCAACAAACTGGCCGCTGCTGATGAAGTTTTTTTGCCCAATTCTAGCTCCAGAGACTCGGGCATACCCGCGCAATTAATTATAGCTATATACAGGTGACGTAACAATGTGAGAACTCTATCAGACAGCTTTCATATAATATCGGGACCCAGTCAAGCTAAGAGTTGTTTGCGCGAGCTGAGATCCAAGATGCCTTATGATAAGAAAATGACGTGGCCATTAATGCCTGAATCATTTCCCGATGGTATGATCTCTGCCATTGGTAATGCAATTAGACAATTAATAATAATAACAGCACATTGTCAGTGTTGTATTTACATGTTTCAACAAGAGTACTGATGACGTCATAAGTAAGTAACACCCATAATTCATGAAGAAAACTATAGGAAGTATAGCCTCACGTGCTTAGAGAAGTGATATAAAAACTCAGCACTGTCGGTAGTCGAGAATGAGCTAGTGACGTTCATGGGGGACCTTGACTGACAAGCGCTTGGAGAGAAAACATCCAGATGTAGTACACGTGTAGAAAGAGCAGGCGAAAATAGAAAATATAATGGGATCAAATCGGGGAAATGTACGAAGCAGTAGTTCTAGTTGTTGTTGGCACCTGCTCTTCTTCGCAACAATCCCTTGGAGATACCTGCCATCATTCGATTATCGGGATGCGAAAAGTACATAGATTACTATTTGTGACTGACGTGGCAGCTCAGCCTATATTTTTTTTTTACATTTCATCATGAGTCTTGTTCTGTGACCCTACGCTTCGAAATTGAGCTGGCATCGAATTCAAATGATAAAATATGCAACACATTATCAATGAATGCATTCTACTGGCAAAAAGAAAAAGGGTACAGACGGCGTCATATCAACGTCCCCTCAGAACTCCTTGGGAACTATTGTGGCCTTGTTAGGGCCAGAAATAAAGACACTAAGAGAGGAATTGAGTTAAACAAATATATTAACAGGAACAGTAATACAAACATACAAACGAGAGTTTTAAACAAGAATGTTTGGTCCGACTGTCAGAGCTGACTGCTGGAAACTTCCCTCTTCAAAAGGCAGTACCTGCTCCTATTTATAGCCGCGAGAGTCCATGCATGCGTGGATAAATTACCATAACAGGAAATATGTATGAAGTACGGAATCAAATGCGCAGATAATTGTTACATGCATTCGCTGCCGTCGGTAGTCGAGAATGAGCAAGTGAATCTCATGTGGGATACGAATTTCTTGACTGACAAGCGCTTGGAAAGAAATCCCCCTGATATCACACTTTTTGCACAGGACATGAATGATATCTACGGAGAAGATCATCGTTGAAGCAGGCGAAAATACAGTGACGCCAATTGGCTGAGCTAGAACGAAACAAGTACCCAATCATTTTCCCATCATTAGCGGGTGGATTGTATATATTAACCCCACTTTCGTAACTGGAATAAGCATGAAAAAAGACCAAGTGAAGTAATATCTTGCAGAGGAGGCTTTATAAACAAATGCCATATTCACAACGTTTCGGCTTTTGTACGCTCCGGCCTTCTTTAGGTCATTGAAATTTCGAACCTAACCCTTTACTTCGTCCACCGGGGTAGATTGTTCTAGTACCAGGTGCTATGCCTCTTCCGGATATTTCATTTATTTCCGTTTAACGCATCTCTCAAAATTTTGCTTCACCACTGCTGTAGCCTGGTATTGAACTCACAACTCTTTGGCTCTAGTAACTGGATCTAACCTACGCCTTTATCCACTGGGCCATGTGTCCTTCAGGAAATTCCAATCACCCGAGGAAGCCCGGAATGTACAACAGCTGAAACGTTGTCAATATCGCAATGAAGATGAGTATAATAGCCCGAATAATGTAAATAATGTAAGTAATCATAATACCTCATCTCAGAGATGCAGACAGCTACTGAAGAAAAATTCCAATCACCTGAAAAAGGCCGGAGCGTACAACGGTAGAAACGTTGGAAATATGGCAATGAAGATGAGGATAACTGTTCAAATAATGTATATAATGTAAGTAATCGTAATACCTCATCTCAGAGACATAAATTCTATCAAGTACGTTATTGCTATAACGGTGGGTTTACTCTATTGCAGGCTGTGTATTGTCAGTGGCTGCCCTCAGCTAGCTTAAAATAAGGCGTATAACTCAATGAAAAGTAGCAATTAGAATACATTCAGAAATCTGTAGGAAGTATGACCTCGTGTGCGTAGGTAAGTGGTGCAAGTATTCAGTACCGTCAGTAGCCACGAATGATCGAGTGAAGAAAATGTGGGGTACGATCATCATGATTGACAAGCGCTTGGAGAGAAATCGCCCTGATATTACACTTTTGCTCAAGACTCCTGATAAACATTGTGGTAACTTGGGATCAGAATACCGTGAAATTGTAGCAGGCTAAAATGCAGTGATGCCAATGGTCTGATCTAGAGCGGTATAAAGACCGAATTATAATTCCGGTGTTCAGGCGTGAATCGAATATGCAAACCCCACTTGGAGTCTAGAGTCAGCTTGCGACCCCAAAAACGTTCAAGGTTGGGAGCTTCATTGAGAGGAAAAGGCTTCATTAGGACTAGAGAATGCTTAATGTCAGCTCGGTGATGATGAGACGTCACTAGCTTGGTTCGTATATAAGAGACCTTCTTGAGGTCTCGAGTGAGTTTGAGTACCAATAAACAATCTTTGGGGGCGGGTTCCTGAAACCAGAACAAGGACAGACGTCCAAATAAACATATATCCGCAAATACATCATTTTTGAGTTATTAAATTTAAAGTTTATGGTAGACATTGTTAAAGATAAAATCCCCAAATACTATTACAAACTTCGGGGACAGGTTCCTGACACCCAAACAGTTAAATGTCCATATAAACATATATCCAAAAAGCCACCGTCATAACTCAGCAGAGCAACTCATAAAAAATCTTCAAAATACCCCCCGCTTTCTTCTACACACGCATGCACCCGTCGGATCATTGATTGGCGGACCCTTTCAAATACTCCCACACGGTGTCAAATGGTTTCACAGGCCTCCATGAAACGCTGATGATACAGCTCTGCGTTATGATAGTCTGTTGAATAAACCAATTTCTTTAGGTAGCCCCACAGACAAAAATCCAAAGTAATGGGGCCGAAGGAATGTGCAGGCCAAGGAACGGGTCCTCACTTACCTGTCAATCTTTCATGGTAGATGTCAGCCAGTGCATCGCGAACAATGTGGCTAAAATGTTTTGGAGCTCCATCGTGGATGAACCACATGCGTCTTCGTATTAGTAGGGGTACATACTCTAGCAGGTCTTACAGCAGCTGTCTACAAGACAGCTGCTGTAAGACATGATAGGAGAGCATATGCACCCCCCCCCCCAGAGAGTCATCTAAACTTCCAGCTCACACATTAATCATAAACTAATGCTGGTGTCTAACCTGTATTGTTCCATGGGGATTCCGAGGAGCCCAAAGATTTTGGTGAAGTAAATTTGTTATTAAATGTCTTTCAAATGTTACCTCATCCATAAGCAATAATGAAGCGAAAAACAACGGATCGGTAATTTGTCTAATAAACCACCGGCAAAAGTTTTCCCGTGCGCGAATGAAATAGATACCTGAGCTGCTATTGAAGTCCTCTCATGGCGGTATTATAAGATTTACGACATGCTAGACCTACTTGACGTCTGCTGATGGATCGCCTCCGACAGCCTGTAGAATATGTTGCTCTTGGTCAGGCGTGGAGAGGATCTCGTTCTTTCTCGATCCACAGTTTGCCACGGATCCTGTCTCGACGTTAAACAGCAGCAAATGTCGGATGATTCGGCTGCCTTCGGTAAGAAAACGCAGTCTGATACAGTCGTGCAGCCTCGCGTCCATTACCATTCGTAACGCCGTATGTAAAAATCATATCTGCTTGCTCCCAATATGAATATCCTGCCATTATTAAAATGAATCCTTCTCAGTTAACTCACTACTATACACTTTAAACGTTGAAGACAGACGAGACACAAATATACACGAATAACAAATGTAACCTAGTCTTCATGTCAACATAGTGCCATCTGCCGTAAACATTCTTTAAACTTAATAACTCAAAAACGAAGGCTTTTCGGACATATGTTTATATGAAATTTTGTCCTTGTTTTCGTGTGCGAAACCCGCCCCCAATGTTTGTAAAAGTATTTTTAATATACACTGTACATGGTTACACTTGCGGCCAGAGTTAAAACTGAGACTCAGTAGACTGCCAAAGTATAGAGCCTCATTGGGGATGGAAACGTTCACCAGGACTAGAGAAAACTCCGGGTCTGAACGGTGGTGGGATGAAATGACAATAGTTTGATTTTCGAAGCATTGAAAGTAACAGTTATTTCGCCATTCAATTTCTGTCAGAGGACACTTTGTTGGTTTATTCGTCTCTTTACGGTTTATCAACCCTTTGCAGCTTATTTAAAGGCACAAAATATTTTTTAGATTTTTTGCGCGGAGATAATATAGACTTATTGATATAAGTCTCACTTTGAAAGATGAGGTGGATTCATGCCTTTCCCCAAGGATATTTGCGCGTAAGTGAATATAACGAACCTAACTGGAATTGGAACTCGGTTTTCCGATTAAAAATTCGGAAACATTATTTATTACACCACCCACACATCCAAGCTTGCAGCACCTATCTAAATACTGGCTCGACATGACATTGCAACGCGGTGCCACCGTAAACCCAGTATGCCACCATACATAAAACTTCACAGTACCTGGCCGTCCCAAGCGGTCACCCATATAGGTACTTGCCTGGTTCGACGTTGCTTAACTTTGGTGAGCGTACGGGAACCGGTGTTTCAACATAATGCGAACGTCTACTCCAAGATTCTGATCTTCGTGTATTTATTGGATTATGCTAAATAAAAAAAAAGGTTTATAATATATTTGTTATGGGAACTTACCCCTAATAATAATGGACTATTCCTGACATTATAAATACTGCGCCACTCAAGAGGTATGAACAGATATTGTAAGACGAGGTGAGATAATTGAGAGCATATTGTAAGGACATTGGAATAGTGATACTTGTCGAGACAACATAGTTCACTCTAACCAAATCTGATAGTCATTACTAATACTTCTACTTCTTTTGTATTATATTTCTGTTGTAATATATCTTTGTATTCCATACCTGTGTTCGTGTTATTCTTTCATTGGTTCTAATCTTGGGCCATCACCGTGGTACAAGGAACTTGGACCATAACAATATTTATGTTAAATTAAAAATATATATTTCATGACTTAAAATATTAGCGACTTTTACATTAGACTGCATTTTGACGGATTCAAATATTGCAATTAATAATGTAAGCAATATTTTCCATCATTTGTCTACAGTATTTAGAATAATCGGTTTTCACGGGATGTGTTCGAAGCGTTTTCTTTTTGTTTTTACACAATCATGTTTACCCTGTACCAGGCGCAAGACTCCCTCGAGATAGAGTATAACAGAGAAAGAGACACGACTCCAAGTGAAACAAAGAAAAATACTACAGAAGGAACCGGAAACCCAGCAATACTATAAACTCCAGTTTAGACGGAGATTTTAGAAGTATATAGTTGAAGCAGAATTTAGAAGGAACCGGAAACCCAAGCTTAAAGAAGAAACCAGGGATAAAACTTCTATTCTCAGTCAAAAGACTGGGTAAGTGGGTTGAATCTGGTGATAGGCAAAATTATTAATAATTTCATCCTAGGGAAGGCGATAATGACACTAAGACGCTAGTATTTACTGGGAGTGAAGACAATCAGAATACTGAGGAAAAAGGACAATAAAAGAACGGGTTCACGAAATCTCTAGATAGGGAAAAATATTGGATTTAACATTTTAGTTATTGTAAATGGGAGAGAAACAAGAAATTGAAAGGGAGATCTAAGTGTGAGACGTGCGTGAATAGATATTATTAGCATAGAACTTACGAGTTTGCAGATTTTCATAGATATTATTTTCGAAACATATATTCATGAACGTTTTTCCAAATGTCAATAATTTTTAACTCTGTCAGGATTATATACCCGAATTTTTAACACAAGCTATAACTATAGCTTGCGCAAATCCATAGATGATTCCCATAATTGCCATCAGTTGTGCTAACGTTATATTTCGGTCTTCCCTGATCAAGGCATCTTCCCTCTGGATATGTTCTTCCCTGAGCGATGTGGATGACAGACCAGATCGGTTTTCGAACCTTACTCTTAATCTTACCGCTTTAATGTTTTCGACACATTCATACACTTTTCGCTGATTCATGGTGCGGGCTCCATACTGCGTCAAATTCCGGGTATAGATTTCCGCAGGTAAAACCCTTGCCAAAGAGAACATTTTCTTTATAATGCTTTCTTGAGTGTGCTAGATATAAAATGTTTAAAATATATAAAAAAAATCAAAAAAATCAGGGGGTCTATTTAAAAGATGAGTATCTTATAAAAATAAGGTTGAAGTAATCTACATTGGTATATATAAAAAAAAAGTAAAGGCAACTTCCATGCAACACCTTTATATCCACTGATGAAGAACAAATGCATGTCATCCCTACCATACCTACGGCAATGCAATTCTGGTATCGTTGAAAAATCTTCATCACTTCTGAAAAGAATCTGTTCAGTTGCTCATGATGCCAACATCTGCAATGCTTGCTGGTTTGAGAATCCAAACTTTATAGTATACTAAAGTCTTTATGCTCTGTGACTTGGTGCAGATAGATGCAGATAGATGCAGCTATTGATTTGGTGTAGTCACTGCACTTCAAGTAGCCAAGAAGGCGCAGTTTGTAGCTGGTTCACTTATAGTTGCACTATAAACATTTGTTTCTTATTGATGTTTCATCCTGTGAGTACGGTTTTCGCCAGTAGCCTCTCCTTATTTGTCCAATCCGTCGAGCTCATTGAGAGTAATCCGGCATTCATTTTGGAAAAGCGTTAATAAATCACCAGTCTTCTGTATTCTGTTATCAAATTCGATTCAATGGCAATCTTTTAAATGAAACCTAGCGATCACTTTCACAAGTTACATCCCTTCATTTAAGACACAACTTCAGGGATTTGACACATTCTCTCGGTCACTTCGTCTGAAATATTCATAGTTTAGTGGTTTATTTATATAACTTCTTTCTTGTTATGGAACACAGATCGCATAGGCACCGAACTGACGAGGTGATTTGATTTAAAAACATGACTCGAGTTTTCTATTTTCTAAATAGTACCAGAAAATCCAGTCAAGGTTCATTTTCGTTATTATAGCAAAAAAAAAAAATAAATAAATAAATAAATAAAAAAATAAAATAAGATAAAGTGACCAGGTTTATTATCACAGATAAAAATACTAATAACGAAAGAAATAAATTGCTACACACATTATTTATTCATATTACTAATGTTCACTCACTACAAGGCCCAAGGACAACTCAAGGTAGATGGTTACTGTGTGGAGTTGTATTAGCGTAAGAAAGGGAAGATAACAGGAAATTCAGACACCTAATTATAAACTTAAGAGGTCAAGATTTAATTAGTTGAAGTAGACTTTAGAAGGAAGCAGAAACCTAATCCTAAACAGGAAACAAGGGACAAGCCTCTACTGCTGTTCAAAAGACTGAGGAAGAGTATGAACCGGGCGGTAGGCAAACATATCTACTCCTATTGAGATAGGAAAGAAATAATAATCACTATGAAATTCTTTATGAAAGAAATAGATTAACGCAAAAATTGAATAAGTATAAAAAAAAATCAATGTGAAACTTCTCAAATGCAATTGGTAATTCTTCCATAGAATAGCGAAATCCATAGAGAATATTTTAACAGCATTTCTTGGAGCAATTAGCATTAACATATTACAAATTCATGCCGCCTGGTCGAAAAACTGATAGGAAAATGTATGAAGGAAACAGTCATGACTTCTTTAGATGTCAAATCTCAATACAAAAACGTAATTGCCAACAAAAACTTCGACATTATAAAAGAAACATCTTTTCCTTAACGATAAATTAAATCATAAATATTTGCAGAACTCATCACAATTGAATTTTCTTTTTAATTTTTAAAATGGCTTTTATAAGCAAAGTTTTGGATTTCCAATTAGATCGCTTCTTAGCAGTGTTTTAGCTTGTCATTTCTTATAATTTCTAAAGACCTGTTCTTTTCAAAATATTTTCTCTAAACAATCAAAATCTCCGATATAATGATGACGCTTTATTAATATATTCACACAAAAAATACCAACATATCGTGTAGATAACAACCTTGGATATACAATAGAATTTATTTATGAAACAGAAACAAACAAGAAAGTAACTAAGAAGCAAGGGGTACGCTGTCTGAAAGAAAATGAGATAAAGAAAAATATTATTAAGAACAATAAAAGAACAAGAAGACAGAAGATAACGACTGACATTGCATTTAAATCTATGGAAATGTCTTATACAATCATAAAAATAACCTCCTTTTATCGATAAGCAAATTTATTGCTGATTTATTACAAACAATTTTATTTCACTTTCGATAATAATTCTTATATACTGAAATTTGGACTGTTAATGGGCTCACCTCTTAGTATTGCCTCTTAGAATTTCTAGAAACTGATACTTTCCAACATATTTTACCTAATCAACGCATGTCAATGGTGCATTATAAACATATCATTGCGATATAATATTATCTGAACTTGTAAATAAACTAAACAACATTGAACACAACATTGAATTTATTTATACAACAGAAATAAACATTATTTTCCTCGGTATCATTACTTACTGATAAGGATCAAAATGGACATTTCCTTACTGATAATGATCAAAAGGGAAATTTCTGTAGTAATAATGATCAAAATGGACATTTCCTTACTGATAATGATCAAAATGGACATTTCCTTACTGATAATGAACAAAATGGACATTTCCTTACTGATAATGATCAAAATGGACATTTCTGTACTGATAATGATCAAAATGGACATTTTCGTACTAATAATGATGTGGCACTAATTGACTTGCTAAAAGGGAGAAAGAAGAAAAGAAAGAAAAAGAAAGGCGAGAATTAAATTTAGATGATAAGAGGCCATCACGAAAAGGACACTAAGCGGTGTTATTTTCTGACAAGGAAAAGTGGTAAAATTATTTTATTGCCATTGTCGAGAAGGCAAAAAGGAAGATACTGGAGTTAATCTGATTTAGGTTACGGATCGGGTGGAAGTTCCAGGTTGGCCAAATAACCTCAGAGACAGAATTCTAAATGGATAAACAATTAACTGTGGCGCGGGAATGCCCATTTGGAACTCCCACAGAATTCTAAAGAGATAAAAATTAAATAGAGAAACAAAAATGTCCGCTGACCACACAATAGTTGCAAACACAAAAGACCAAACCATAGGTTAAGCCTTTGTCGATGGGAAGATATCGTTTAGACAAGGCATCTGTTTTGTGTTGAAATTCGGCTATGACAGCGAAACTATTTTATCGGATCAGAAATTGGCACCAAGAATGCAAAATACGTCTAATTGATCACCCACTCGTTTGGCGAAGGCCCCGGGTGATAAATTCCAGGTACCATTGAGGATAAGAACCGCGATTAATGGACTACACTGCGAAAGAAAAGAAAAAGAAAAAAAGAAAAGGAAAAGATAATTTTTTTTTCTTTGAGCAAGATTTTTCTAAAAACAAGACTAGTCTCGCCACACCCACGCTGCTGAGCGCCCATTGGCTGAATGATAACGAGATCCAGGCGGAGGTGATCATGTGAGGCAGGAGGGGAGGCCTGCTGGCATCCATTGAGGGGATAGGTGTGAGATATCACTGTGAGAGAGAGGGAAAA